CATTTCTAAATGGGGACTTAGATGAAGAGATCTATATGGAGCAACCAGAAGGATTCATAGTTAAGGGCTAAGAACACAAGGTATGCAAGTTGGTTAAATCTTTATATGGCCTAAAGCAAGCTCCTAAGCAATGGCATGAGAAATTTGACAAGGTGATTCTAGATTATGATTTAAAGTTTAATGGTCATGATAAATGCGTTTATTATAAAGAGAATAATGGAGAACATGTAATCTTGTGCCTTTATGTTGATGACATTTTGATCTTTGGGACGAATTTAGAGATTGTGAATGATGTGAAGTCATATTTATCTAGGAATTTTGACATGAAAGATATGAGAGAAGCACATATAATCTTAGGAATGAAAATTGAGAAGACAACACTAGGAATTTCTCTAAGTCAATCTAGTACTATTGAGAAGATGTTGAAGAAGTTCAATTACTTTGAGTGTAAGCCCACACCAACACCTTATGATCCCAATGTTCATTTAAAGAAAAATCAAGGTGAACCGTTTTCTCAGCTGAAGTACTCCCAGATGATAGGTTCTTTGTTGTACATTGCAAATAAGACTAGGCCAGACATTGCTTATCGTGTTGGAAGATTAAGTAGGTATAACCCACACCAACACCTTATGATCCCAATGTTCATTTAAAGAAAAATCAAGGTGAACCGTTTTCTCAGCTAAAGTACTCCCAGATGATAGGTTCTTTGTTGTACATTGCAAATAAGACTAGGCCGGACATTGCTTATGCTGTTGGAAGATTAAGTAGGTATACACATAACCCAAGCAAGGAACATTGGAATGCTTTGGAAAGAGTTTTCAAGTACCTAAGAGGACCAATGGATTATTCACTGTGCTATTAAGGATTTCCAAATGTAATAAAGGGATATAGTGCTGCAAATTGGATAACAGACAATGAATTAGTGAAGTCTACTAGTGGTTACATTTTCTTATTGGGTGGAGATGCAATTTCATGGGGTTCTAAGAAGCAAACAATTATTTCTAAAAGTACTATGGAGTCTGAACTCATAGCTTTGGATATTACTTGCACTGAGGCTGAATGGATTAAGAGTTTATTAATGGATATGCCTCTGGTGGAGAAACCATTGCCTGCTTTATCTATTCATTGTGACTGCAAGGCTACAATAGACTTGGTGAAACAATCTCATACAAATAGGAAAATGAGCAGGCACATACATGTGAGACATAAATCTGTGAAGAGCCTATTAAGTAAGAACATTGTGTCTTTGGAGTATGTGAAGTCAGAGAATAATATTGCTAACCAATTGACTAAAGGTCTTTCTAGGAGCAGAGTCCTAGAAATGTCGAGGAGGATGGGCTTAAGCCCATAAGGGAGTCACCTAGGAAGGTAACCCAACTTCTGTGATTGGCGATCCCATGAAGGAAGTTCAATGGGTAGAAACAATCCATATTGCGTGACTCATTGAGCACTATTTATATCATGTGGAGGCATCCTAGAGATGTCCTCATGCTCATCCCTATGACAACAGTGCTATATAATGTGACGTTAGGAAGGGAGTTATCCCTGAATGAGTTTCGAGGCTGGCAACCTCCCGCAGGGTGCAGGTCACATGTACTCTTGGAGAACTTACCTAAGTGAGAGACGTCATGAGGCCGCGACTGTGAGAATTGGGCTATTCTCTAGCAACTCTCATGAGAATCAAGATTAGCGCATGGCCATAAATAGCACTACCCTGCTTCCAAGCCTCAACCAATACTATGTGTGGGATATGTTGAAGTTTGGTCAAAGGTGCCGAGTTCAATACTGTGTACACTCAGGTTCCTCAAATGAAAACTATCATCACTAAGTGAAGGTTCAAGCCCGGAAGGCACCTACACCTATTGCATAGTATTATATTGCCCATATGTATATTTCTTTATCTTTTACTATTTAAAAATTTTAAAACCCTTTGTGGGGGATTGTTATTATTTGAAAGGATTTTAAATTTTAACGTTTATTTTCTGTTTTAATTTTTGGTTGTTTTCTTTTATTTATTATGGGAGTTACAAATTGTTTAATTTTCAGTTTTTATTTTCTATTCATTGCACCAACTTTTTTGGTTAAATTTGTCTGGAGGTTACGAGTATTGGATGCCTATAAAAGGCCACTCCTCCTTCACATTTCAACACACCACAATCAGATTTCTCTATTCTCATACTTTCATATATTCCTTACTTTCCATATTATTTTTGGGCAACGGTTTTGTGGCTTGGAAATTTCTATCCGATTGTGAACATGCTCATAGCGGACCTTAAGCCTGCATATTGGGGTCGTATCTTGGAGTCTTGTAGACCGTCATTACCTGCACGTAAGGAGGCTACAAAGGCTTTAGGACAGCGTCTTTGACGTGCTTTCACTATATCAGGCTTGCTTTCTTAATCTTAACTTTGATTGATTTATTTATTTATTTGTCTCTTTATTCTACTTTACCGTTTAAGCTTTATTATTATATATATATATATAGATATATATTATTTATATCTAAGTATTTGAATAAGAATTTTATAGAAAAAGGAAAAAATCACAATTTTAATAACAATCTAAAGCCTTTGTATGTTAAAATTATTCTTACCATATTTGTTGTTGCTATAAGTTTCTCCAAATCGTAAATACTCTCTGTCTTCATTAGCTGCGTTTTTCCTATTATTGCTTGTCTATATAGCTGTATTAGACAAGCGAGTCCGGGTTTTTTTTTACACTGATGGACTATACAATCCCATTAAAGTTAATCTCCTCCTTTACCAAACTTGGGTTTCAAGTATTATATAACACAGTCCAGTCCAGTGAGGCATAATGAGGCATACCAAACATGGCCTAATAGGACAATACTAAAGGGTCACTACATCTAATTATGAGAGGGTTTCTAAGAGGAGAGAGAGTAGAGAGATTAGGAAATTTGACTTATGAAGAATGAAAAAACAAAAACGAAATAGAGCATGCACTATGGGGACATCATTGTATATTTATATGAAGGGTATTGAGTAATAGCATGTTACCAAAAGGCTATATTAGAATAAAATTTTGCAAAAGGGGTATTACTGAATAAAGGTTTTGAAAATGGGCTATTTTAGCATAAAACCCATTATATTATTGTATACGGGCTTAACATATGTATCGTGCCAGCAAACTAACAAATTGTTTGACTAAATCTCACTACAAGGGCTACATGTGAGCACGTATGTTAACCTTGAGGACCACAAATGACAAAAAAAGAAAAGAAAAAGGACGCAACGTGATAATTTTGTAAACCTCAAGTACGTTTTGTGATAAAATTTTTGGGACCACGAACTTCTTGTATAATTAAATATAAATAAGAATTGGCACTTGAAAAATGTTGCCTTTTTTAAAAACTATAATTTTTCACTTCATATTAGTGCCAAGATGGGTCGTTGTTCATCCACTTTAAGATAAATATATAAGAACATTTTAGATAGCATAAACTACAAATCGTGAAGGAAAATGATGCTCGGTTACCGTGTTGTTGGACTTTTGGGCTTGAGAAAGGAACCTCATTTTTTCATGGGCACTTACAAGGTGTAAATAATGTATATTTCTCAATAGAAACTCCAATTTAGACCACTGACCAAGGAATTGTGGCTGCATAGTGGTATCTTTAGGAAAAAAAAAAAAAACACAATGTGTTTTTCTCCAAACCACACCATTAAAAATGTTGTGAGTTTTTTACTAGTGAATGGCTCTAAGGAGTGGTGGAATTAGGCCTAAGCACAGTACAGTATGGTATGGTATTGACCACATCCCGCTTCCGATACTGGAATTTTCAAACAACACAATATGGTATGGGATTGGTGTTTTGGTTTTTTGGAACCGAATCATACCGGAGCCGATCGATTTCGGTATGACACGGTACCATTTCAGTACCATTGTTGCTGAGATCTGAAAAGAGAAAAAATACTAAGATGAGAGAGGAAAAAAGAAACAGAGAAAGAGAAAAGAGAGGAGAGAAAAAAATAGTAATGGAGAGAAAGAAAGTGATGGGGAGGGAAAGAAGAAAGAGAAGAAAATGAGAGAGAGAGAGAGAGAGAGAGAGAGAGAGAGAGAGAGAGAGAGAGAGAGAGAGACGAAGAAGAAGAAAGAAAGGGAGAGAGAGAGAGTGTGTGTATAAAGAAGAGAGGAAGAAGAAGAAAAAGTAGAAAGGAAAAAAAATTAGAAAGGGCAAAGATATATGGGGATGGAGTGGGGAGGGGGGCTGGGAAGAAAGAACAAAGAAAGAGAGGAAGAAGAGACGAAGAAGAGAGGAAAAAAATAAACAAAGATTGAGAGAAAGATATCTGAGAAAAAATAATATAAAAAAGGGAGGGGAGATATTAAATAATAGGAAAGAAAGAGAGAGAAAATGAAAAGGAATAAAGAAATAGAGAAGATGGATACTATTCGGTACGGTATGACACCAAATGGTACAAGAAATATGAAACCGGTGTCATGTCAAACAGAAACGTATCATACCGTTTACATTGCAACACCAAACAATACGGTATGAGATTGGTACGGTTTGACATGATTTCAGTTTGGTTTCGGTTTTCTAGTTTTGATGCCCAGCCCTAGGTGGAATGTGAGACAAGGAGTGAAAATACGCAAGTGATGGAATTGAAAATGTAGAGGTAAAGTAAGATTTGAGAAGGTTCAAGGAGTAAACTGTGATGTGTACACGGACACGTTGGGCGGCAAGAAGAACTAAATTCATAGACGAGGACCTAAAAAGCAAGAAGGCTGGCTTTCAAGGAAGCATCCAGAACAAATACATTTTCCTCTATTAATTATTTTCTTTTCTTTCCTTTCCTAATAAAACTTGCAAAGAAATATACCCTATTGTGTCAGCAAACCATCCAACGGTCCACAATGCACAAGGACCAAAAGCCTCGAGAGAAGAATTCTAGACCCTTCCTAACTACAAACTCAAATCCCAACCGTCCACTGATTTCTCGCGAATAATCACCTGATATATCTATATATATACGCCCGGCTACACTTTCCCTAGTAGTGCTCTTTAGGTTGTTATTGTTCTTCTGTTCTGGCTTTCATTGCAAGAAAGTAGCAGATTCTTTGGGAGCATCAGAGTCGTGAGATTGATTTGGGTTCTGGGTTTTCAAGAAATCAGTCAAATTTAATCGAAGAAGATGTTCGGGAGGGCGCCGAAGAAGAGCGATAACACTCGGTACTATGAGATTCTGGGAGTGTCGCAGAACGCTTCTCATGACGACTTGAAGAAGGCTTACAAGAAAGCCGCCATCAAGAACCATCCTGACAAGGGTGGAGATCCTGAGAAAGTAAGTTTACCCATCTTTCCTTTTTCTCCAGATTTCTCGATTTTGTTTCTGTAATGGGATTTTGAGAAATGGGTTTTTGTGGATTCTAATCGTTCTATTGTTATTCTTCTTGTGGCTCTGTTAAGCCCTTTTGTTCTTATTGAATTTGATCTAGTAAAATCCTGGGTTGACCTAAAAATTTGTTTTTGAATTGTTTTTATAGATGGAAGTATATCTATGTGATAATGGGTTGGGGTTGTTTGGTCGATTTGAAATTCTAGTTGTAGGCCTAATGAGATTTGTACATATTTTGCGCAGTTTAAAGAGTTGGCTCAGGCTTATGATGTTCTGAGTGACCCTGAGAAGCGTGAAATCTATGATCAGTACGGTGAGGATGCACTCAAGGAAGGAATGGGTGGCGGTGGTGGCGGCCACGACCCATTTGACATCTTCTCATCTTTCTTTGGTGGTAGCCCATTTGGAGGTGAGAATCGTGTGATTAATTTTTATGGTTTAACTCAGGGGGTTCTGATTTTGTGAAGTACAATGGATGTGAATGAATTTTGTATTTCTTTGTATGAGCAGGTGGTGGCAGTAGCAGAGGCCGAAGACAGAGACGTGGAGAAGATGTGGTCCACTCACTGAAGGTCTCTTTGGAGGACATCTATCTTGGGACCTCAAAGAAACTGTCTTTATCGCGTAATGTGTTATGCTCCAAATGTAATGGGTGAGTGAAAGTACTAAATATGTAATTTTTAGCCTGATGCTATGATGAAGTTTAGACCTTGGTGGTTTATATGTGTAATGCTCACATTACATGTTGATATGTTGTTAATGGCAGTAAGGGGTCGAAATCTGGGGCTTCGTCGAAGTGTGCGGGCTGTCAAGGAACTGGTATGAAGGTCACAATCAGGCACCTTGGCCCCTCTATGATTCAACAGATGCAGCACGCTTGCAATGAGTGCAAAGGTACTGGAGAGACCATCAGTGACAAAGACCGCTGCACGCAGTGCAAAGGAGAAAAGGTTGTTCAAGAGAAGAAGGTGTTGGAAGTCATTGTGGAGAAGGGTATGCAAAGTGGACAGAAGATATCATTCCCTGGTGAAGCAGATGAAGCTGTATGTTGTGTTGTCATTAATTGTGATTTTGTAGTAGTAGTTGTTGATTCTTATACGTAAATGTGGCGGTTGATTAATTTGACATCTCACTTTGGTGATTGCAGCCTGATACAGTCACTGGTGATATAGTGTTTATCATTCATCAAAAAGAACATCCAAAGTTCAAGAGAAAGGGTGAGGACCTTTTTGTGGAGCACTCTCTGTCCCTCACCGAGGCTCTCTGTGGCTTCCAGTTCGTTTTGACCCATTTGGATGGCAGGCAGCTGCTTATCAAATCAAACCCTGGTGAAGTTGTCAAGCCTGGTTAGTAAAGAGCCTGAACTCACATGGTTTCGGGTTTTGCTATTGATTGTTGTTTCTCAGACATTTTATTAACCTTTAGATTGGTTTTGTTTGGTGGTACTGAAAATGCAGATTCGTTTAAGGCGATCAATGATGAAGGGATGCCCCTCTACCAAAGGCCATTCATGAAGGGGAAGCTGTACATTCATTTCAATGTGGACTTCCCAGAGTCTCTGAACCCAGAGCAGGTCAAGGCTTTGGAAGCTATTCTTCCATCAAAGCCAGGAGCATCTCAGCTTACAGATATGGAGGTGGATGAATGTGAGGAGACAACTCTGCATGATGTGAACATGGAGGAGGAGATGAGGAGGAAGCAGCAGGCTCAGGCAGAGGCTTACGACGAGGATGATGACATGCCTGGTGGTGCTCAGAGGGTGCAGTGCGCACAGCAGTGATGATAGTTTCTAGAACCTATAGAAGTTCTCTGAAGTGATGGGGGCTGAAGAACAACTGATGACTGAGGTAGGAGGGGGAGGGGCTTGGCTGTGATGATGGATGGCGGTCTAGCTAGTTGGAGTCTAGAATTTTGGAAAACTTTTATAATCAAATGTTATGTTATGATTTTGAACCTGTTATTCTTGAACTATTGATAAATGACCATCATTATTCTTACTACTCTTTAAGAAATCTTTTCTTTTCTGTGCCCCTTTTATCTTTTTGGTTTCTTTATTTTTTTAAATGCTTAATCGAATGATGTTGTGTAGCGAATATTAATTTCTGGTAATGACTTCTTTTTGGCTTTATGTATTTCTGCTGTCGGTAACTGAGGTAGTAATTGGGGGTGAAAATGAGGTAGTAATTGTGTGGTCTTATTAGAGTAATTGTTCTTTTGCTGATCTTCAGGATCTTGACAAACGAGAGAGCATTTTTGCTTTGCTCATTACCATAAATTGGTGCCGTTGAATGAGTACAAATTTCAAAATTTATATTGGTCCAACGGTAATTAACGAAGTGGTAATTTGACAGTGAGCAAAAGTGTCCTCGACAAGTAATGAGCTAGTTACTGTAAGTACTGAAAGTCTGATATATTTGTCAAAGCACCTGTGGGATAAGAAGAAAAATAGCTTTTTCAGGCAACATCTCTAAGAAGTTCAGAACTAACTCTAAGAAGTAGATTTTGGTCACAAAGTCCAAAGGAGAAAGAATTTCACAAACTCTGTACCTGAGCCTTCATCAATTTTGAAGTTTTGTTTTGGTGCTTTTAGTTGGTTTCTTATGGCTATAGGTAATTACATAATTAAGTCTTCATTCAAAGATCATCTTTACAGTCTTCATTCAAAGATCATCTTTACAAAAAAATTTGCACAATCAAAAACCATTAACGAGTTCTATTTTGTGTAAGGGGCTTGTATGGAGATAACACTATTTTTCTATTTCGGGCCAATAATAATATGATGTGTGATAATAGTTTCACGTGGCATAGCATTATTATTCGGGAATATCCATTGCAAGTGCAAAGACCCATGACTTTCCTCTTTTTCTGAGCAGGATACCTATAGCCAGAACTAACTCTTAAACATTAAGAAATTGTTGAAATTGATTTTGTTAACAAAGTCCAGAGACCCTGTCTCTTTCTGGACCTTTTTCCTTTCCTAGAGAAGGATCTATCGGTGGGCGTGGATATGCATTATTATTTTTTTTTTGGCCTCTTCTCTTTATCGATGTGTGAGGAGTAATATAAAAGATCAAATGTGACAATTTCGAGAACTTCATCGACCATTTGTGAAAATAACCGTATAAAATATGTAGGGTTCCATCATTTAGCCAATTGAACATTTTAAGACACGCTGCCGTTTTCATGCGCACAACATCCAGATTGGACTCTTTGAGAAAACAGAAGATCAGTATCTGAGTCCAATTAGCCCAAATAGAACTTGAGAACCGCTGAGAAAGGCAAAATGTTCACCAAATGTTTGGAGTGGGAGGACAAAACTCTCCAAGAAAAAAATCAATTGAATTTCATAACATAGGAAATTTTCTCTATGAACTGATATTCAGTAAAAATACTAGTCATGTGGACTTTCTATCTTTTTATGGAGATACCGAAGTACATGCAGAATAGAAGTCTTTGGCTTATCCCCATATCTAACACACAACTTTGCCACAGCTAGAAGACTTTTAAGCTCCCTAGAATCATAACTATTACCTAGATCAGGATCAAGCATCTTGTGAATGGAGCTACAGAAGCGATACTCTCGGATCCATTGAACCAGATCTGCACCCCCGTCATCTGCTGACTGACCGGTGATGAGCTCCAGTATCAGCACCCCAAGCTGGAACATGATGTTACCGCATTCCTGACCCATGCAATCTGCCAAAAACAAAAAAGGGAAAGATGAGGATTACAATTAGTATTTAAAAGGGTGATGGTAAAGAAAGCCAACCTTTAGCGCATGAGGTATGAGGTACTGTGACATAATTTTCACCAGAACTTTGAAGGCCAACGTCTGAAAGCTGTGATCAGGAAAGAAGGTCATTTGATGTTTGACAAAGATGACAGCATTAGCATTTAGGACACCAAGTAGGATCTTCAGAAAATGATAAGTTAAATGGAACCCTAACCTTTGCATTAAAGTTTTCATCTAGCATGATGCTACTTGAGCTAATGGAGACATGATACATTGGAGGTTCATTGAAGAGAAGCAAATATTCCTGCATTGAAGTTTCAGTACGGTGTAAGCTAAACTCATATGGCCATACCTATACATAATTGATGCAAAAGAACCAAAGAGCTTCAAAGTTCTGCTTGGATTGGATGCAATAAAAAAACCAGCAGATTAAATCCAGTTCAAACAGTATCCTGCTGTAGATGTGGAAAATGATACTGCAAGTGCCTAACGATTAAACATAAAAATTAAATAGATAAAATTTTCAACACTAATTTAATATTTGCAAATCATCTTAATAAAACGTGATTTAAGGTGTACAAGATGCACACAATCAATTTATGTAGTAATTGTTTGTACTGCTAGTTAAGATGATTACGTCTTGCTTCTAAAACATACCAATGCAGCTACCACACCAATGACTATTTGTAGCCTTGTCCTCCAATCCAAGGGAGTTCTAAGGGGATCTGACAACAATAATGTGAAAATCAAATTTTTGCACTGATTTTCTGATACATGCATACACAAACTTCTGCTCAGAATGTTACCAGTGAGATGCTCCTTCAAGCTCCCTCTTTCTATGTTGTCAAAAATTAGCAACCTGAAACAAAAGAAAACAAAAAAAGTTAAATAAAAAATCAAAGGAACAGATCTTTAGAAAAAACACAGAGCAACTAATAATTTGTCGGACAACAGCTAAGGTATATCAAAATTATTGTCAATCCTTGGTAATTGACCTAAGTTTGAAGGAATGTCAAAGTTTTTCCTCAAAGGTTTATCATGAGTTTTACGTTACATATAGATTTCAGGAAATTAACAAGAATTTCAAAACCACTGAGAAGAATCAATGAAACAAAGCATCATGTCATGAGCCCATTCAACAGAAACCACACTTAAGCAATGCTGAAAACTAAAAGCTTTTCAAATCGAATATATTTTTTTTTTCATAGGAAACATCATTAAAAGGGAAAGAAATATTACAAAAAATGGACAAGATACTGGAGCAAAGAACTAAAGAATCCTAATAAGACAGCTACCTACACCAGTAACAACCTTAAATAAAAAAAAGCCAGCAAAGTACATAAGACACTAATAAACAGCAGCATTCCAATCTGAAAAAATAGCAGAGAAATATTATCCCAAAAATTTAAAGAGATTGAAGCCCATGGAGATGCCCGACAGTGAACCATCTACCACAGATAATCCATCTCCTCACCCCTAACATTCTCAAATATCCTTCTACTCTTCTCCGTCTAAATTATCCAAAACAATAGCCATCGCCACACATGTTCCCAAAACCATACCCTTCTTTCTTCCGCCAAAAAACATATGGCTCTTGCAAATATTGTCACACACTCAGCTCAAATGATCACATAGCCTACCTGACAGCCTTAACCAAAGGGTTATGCTACCGGACATGCAAAAACAAATGGTTGACACTCTCTGCTCCATCTTTGCACATCACACTCCATTGAGGAAAAAGATATAATGAAGGTCTTCTCCTCTGAACCATGTCACAAGTGTTAACCCTCCAATGACTAAATTCCATGCTAACACCAGTATCTTAGAAGGCACTTTTGTCCTCCAAATTGCAATAGAGGATAAGGACAAAGAAAAAGGTTTCCCATCAATGTCTCAAGTAGGATTTACCAGAAAAATCCCCTGATGTTTCCAACATCCACTTCCTCCTATCAGCCCTTAGTGAAACCAGCACTACACACTCTCTAACAGGGTTAATAAGGACAACAGCTCCCTAAGTTCCAGATCATTCAAATTCCCACAAAATCAAAATTCCAACTACAAGGAAGATAAATTAACACATGCTCTAGCAATGCTAAAATGATAGAACTGTGATAATTTGTAGTCTAGGAAAAGAAAGGCATAATGCGTTTTCCCCCACCCAATTCTCTTCGCAAAGCCTATATTATTCACTACAGAATAAAAAGCTCGAACACAGCTACAATAACAACCTAGTGTAATCTGAACTCAATACCAGCTGAAATACAGCATCTGATGAAACAAACACACCACCGCAAGATCATGTTGAATGAAGCTGAAATACACATGTTATGGGTAATCAAAAGCAGGGTAGAGATGATCTTTGAATGAATATCTACAAAATAGATGGTTTGGATTAGTGAAATACTATGCGGAGTGGGCCCTACAAGGGTGTCCCTCAACTTAAGCTCTCTGCATATATATATATACATACATACTAAAATTATATTTGTGAAAATAGTTTAACCATATAAGTATAAACTGAAAGAAAACTATGCCAGTTGTAAGTAGATACATTATGCCACAAACCTGAAATGTTGCACTGAAATTCCTATAGCCAATTTCACACCTTTATGATTATATAGAACATAACTTATCTCATTTAAGATCAAATTACACACTATTAAACTGAGGGCCAGGTATCCAAGGTGGAGTTTACCACTAGGGATGCCCATCATTTTCCCAGCCTCTTTCCATTTATGGAGAGGGCAAAGCAGCCCAACCTCTAGATTTACTGTGGCGTATATCCAAGCCATGATAAAAACACATATTTTCCTCTGTTCCCAAACGATGGCCTGTTTGTATGGACAGGTAGGTGGAAATTAAAGAAAGAAAGTGACAGAGTGAAAAAAGGGGATCAGACCGTTTATGTCCAGTAGAGAACCCCTTGAGAGCAAGAAGGTGGCGATGATGCAAGCGCCCCAAGAGTTGCACTTCTCTGTAGAAGGCATCTTTTCCTTGATCGTAATCTCTCATTTCTTTTATCAATACAACCCCACCATCTTGAAATCTGGCCTTATAAGCAGCTATATGAGAAGTGGTATACATGATACTCTCAAAACCATCTGTTGCTCTCTTTATATCCTTGTATGGAAAACGCTTCATAAATAATACCCTGCCTGAAAATGAGAACATATAACGGGTGAGTAAAATAATTTCCTTATAACCTCCGAGTACAAATTTATTTAAACTCATGTAGTTGGAAAACAAATTGCATCCAATTTCTGTTTCTAACTGAC